GTGACCATCCCCCCTGGGGGGTGATTTCTCGCTTTCTGTCTCTATGTCTCTCTCTGTCTGTCTGGCAAGCGCACGCGCCCTACAGTGAAAATCTCTCAAAAAAAAAAAAAAAAAAAGAATGACCAGCACCCAAAGATCAAAAATATTGCATTGGCTTCTGGAGAAAGGACTAGCCTGTGTTTAGCTGTATTCATGGTGGTTGTATCATGTGGGCAAGTGAGTTGTCTTTATTTGGAATTGAACATAGCTTCAGGCAACGTGTATGTATGACAAATGGAGAATAATGAACTCTAGTGGCTTCGTAATAGGTAAGCTTGGGTAAGATGAACAACATTTCCTCGAATTTCCATTTTTTGTATTTCTAGTTATGGTGGGTGACAGGGAAGATTCTTGGGAGACCTGGGGGCACAGGGAAAGCAGCCACGGTGCAGCTTACACACATCGTGGCTGGTCTGCTGACTCACCTCATCATGTAAAGCAGCAGCTAGGTTTGCAATGGCTGTACCTTCCTTTGGATCCTCCTCCCCTTCTCTGATTTTTGAACCAGGTGTGTGCATTCAGCTTCATTAGAAGGGTCTCAACTTCTGCAAGACACCAGCACCATTTATTCCTAGGCAACAAAAACTGACAGGGTTTTTAATCTGTCCTCGTGTGGATAGAACTCACGCTTGTGCATGAGTTACAGCCTGCCTATGAACCGTCCCTTTTTATTTCTATCTTCCCTTTCTAACAGTCTGCTCCATGAACTTCAAGTTCCAGCATCAGAGACAAAGGTCACAGCCTTACTTACGTTGTTTAACCAGCTTCCTCAACTGCATAAGGCCCAATTTCACAACAAAATTCATTACATATGTATTGTATTTGTAGAAAACTCTTAGTAGTTCCATTTCTCTGGTTAAATCCTGACTGATAAATTAAAAAACACTCCAGAATGAATATTTATTACTAATTTTTCTCTAATGAGAAGAGACTCTTGTCTTGAAGTTTGCTGCTGAATAGAATCAGATATTTGGAACTTCAGGATGATCATGTTTATGCAGACAGATTTTAAATTCTCTCTTTTTAAAAAAAGAGTTATTTTAATCATTAGGCCATTTGAATCATTAGAACTAGAAAAAAAAAAGTCTTCACCAATTCTTTCATCAATCAAAATGTGTTTTTGTCAGGTATGCTGGACCCCAGTGTTTCCGGTGGTGTCCTTCATCTCCACTTCCTGTTTCCTCAGGGACTGAAAAAAGGAAGATGTGGCAGAGGAATCAGACCTCCCTGGCAGACTTCATCCTTGAGGGCCTCTTTGATGACTCCCTCACCCACCTTTTTCTTTTCTCCTTGATCATGGTGGTCTTCCTCATTGCAGTGAGTGGCAACACTGTCACCATTTTCCTCATCTATGCTGACCCCCGGCTTCATAGACCAATGTACTTCCTGCTCAGCCATCTTTCCCTCATGGATCTGATATACGTCTTCACAATCATCCCCCAGATGGCTACCAACTACCTGTCTGGAAAGAAGTCCATCTCCTTTGTGGGCTGTGCCACCCAGCACTTTGTCTATTTGTCTCTGGGTGGTGCTGAATGTCTCCTTCTGGCTTTTATGTCCTATGACCGTTACGTTGCCATCTGTCACCCGCTGCGTTATTCTGTGCTCATGAACAGAAAGGTGGGGCTGATGATGGCCATCATGTCGTGGTTGGGAGCGGCCGTGAACTCCCTAATTCACACGATGATCCTGATGCACTTTCCTTTCTGTGGGCCTCGGACAATTCACCACTTTTTTTGTGAGTTTCCAGCTATTGTGAAGTTGGTGTGTGGTGATATCACTATTTATGAGACCACCGTGTACATCAGCAGCATTCTACTAGTCCTCCTCCCCATCTTCCTGGTTTCGACATCCTATACCTTCATCCTGCACAGTGTCATTCAGATGCGTTCAGCTGGGAGTAAGAGAAATGCCTTTGCCACTTGTAGCTCTCACCTCATGGTGGTTTCCCTCTTGTTCGGTGCCTGTATTTTCTCATATATGAGGCCCAGGTCCCAGCACACTCCATTGCAAGACAAAGTTGGTTCTGTGTTCTATACTATCATTACTCCCACATTGAATCCTCTGATTTATACTCTGAGGAATAAGGATGTAGCTAAGGCTCTGAGGAAGGTAATGAAGAGAGATGTTAGCACCCACTGACTGCAATTGTAGTTGTCTTCAGTATAGAGTGGAATGGGAGAAATCCTCATGTTGATCAGGGTAATCCTCTTAATATTTTTCGGAAATCTAGATCCCAGATATTCTTTGAGTACTGCCAGATGACATGGTTAACACAGAAATTTACTTTTCCAACTCAGTATTGGGCCTCCAAGCACCATGGAAAACCTTTTCGTAAGCCTTTAGAAAGTCAAAAACTTCCTAAAAATTCCTTTGAAGTAAGACACTGGCATGCTGCCCCATGGCATGGTGGTTAAATGCTGTTCATGTAAGCCATATCCCACAACACCAACCACAGTTCAAGTCCTAGCCTCAGTGGTTTGAAAGACACTCCTCACACATGTGCATATGTACTGCAAATCCTGATGGGATGGAGAAATGGAGGAATAGGATTACAACATGACCAGACCTCACTGGGGGATGATTTCTCTCCCTCACTTTAGCTTTCTTATGGCACACACAACCTCCAGCCAAAAAAAAAAGGAATAATGATGACACAGGTCAGTGACTCTCTGAAAAAGATAAAAAGATTTTAGGGACCTTTCTCATTATTATTTTCATTAATAAAAATCTATATAAAACATGCCAAAGTAGAGTATTTATGGAGTATAAAATCGGTTGCGTGTTGTTCTATTTTGGAAGCATGGGAAGTAAAGCATGGTGGAAGGTTGTTCTGAGAGAAAGGATGGGCAGATGCTACCGTCTTTTTTTTCCCTATAGTGGACTTGTGGGCCTGCAGGTCGGCCACTGCAGCGGGTCTCTCTTCCTCAGGATGGGATTTGTTAAAGTTGTCAAGAATAAGGCCGACTTTAAGAGATACGAAGTGAAACTTAGAAGACGATGAGAGGGTAAAACTGATTACTATTGGCAGTCCTCTCAAGGCGGTCTAGAATTATAACGCTGTCTCCAGAGTTTTGAAAAAATGGCAGCAAATGAAAGTGTTATTAGCTTCTTCAGTTCAGCATCCTTGGCTGTGGGGTATGTAGACTCACTTTTGCCTGAAAATCCTTTGCAAGAACCATTTAAAAATGCTTGGAACTGGGAACCAGCAGTTAGCGTAATGGCTATGTCGCTGGACTCCCACGTAGTCGACCGCGGTTCGCGTCCCGGACCCGGTGGCTTAAAACTCACGCCGGGCGCGTGTGCGTGCATGCCCAAGATCCCGGGAGGAGAATGGAGGAGAAGGGATTGCGGCGTGACCATCCCCCCTGGGGGGTGATTTCTCGCTTTCTGTCTCTATGTCTCTCTCTGTCTGGCGAGCGCACGCGCCCTATAGTGAAAAAAAAACCCTCTCAAAAAAAAAAAATGCTTGGAACTACATGTTGAATAATTATACAAAGTTCTAGATCGCAACATGGCGATCCCTGATAGTTCATGAAGCCCTTTATTTCTTGTTCTCTTTACCTGGATTTTTATTCCAATTCATACCTTTCATGAAAAGATACAAAATTCAAAAGGATAAACCAGAAACATGGGAAGGCCAATGGAAATGTTTTAAAGTACTTCTTTTTAATCACTTTTGTATCCAGCTACCTTTGATTTGTGGAACCTATTATTTTAGAGTTTTTCAATATTCCTTATGATTGGGAAAGAATGCCAGGATGGTATATGTTCTTGGTAAGATGTTTCGGCTGTGCAGTCATTGAGGATACTTGGCACTATTTCTTGCATAGACTCTTACATCACAAAAGAATATATAAATATATTCATAAAGTTCATCATGGATTTCAGGCTACATTTGGAATGGAAGCTGAATATGCACATCCTTTGGAAACCCTAATTTTTGGAACTGCATTTTTCATTGGAATCTTGCTTTTGTGTGATCATGTCGCTTTTCTCTGGGCATGGGTCACTGTTCATTTGATAGATACTATTGATGTCCATAGTGGGTATGATAGTCCCCTCAATCCCTAAATCTCATCCCTTTCTACTCTGGGTCTTGGCATCACGACTTCCACCACATGAACTTCATTGGAAATTATGCCTCGACATTTACGTGGTGGGATAGATTGCTTGGAACAGACTCTTAGTATAATGCCTACTCTTAGTATAATGCCTACAGTGAAAAGATGAAGAAGCTTGGGAAAAAGACTGAATAAACCGTCTCATGTAAACCTTCCTGAAGGTAAACACTTTCTGAATTGAAACTAACATTGCTAACATTGCTTCTGGGGAACAGAAATAAGCGTGTCCTGGCTGCTAAGTGATAAAAAGAACATTGATAACTTTTAAATATCTTCCTAGTGGGAACTTTTTCCACTTCACATACAAGTTCTGTATATGTAGAAATAAATAAATATATTTAAATACAGTTTTCATGAAGGAATTTTAAAGGTCATGTTTCTAGCCTTACAGAAAGGTTTTAAGTAATGAAAGAAGTATTCATTTATGTCCTTTCCCCCAGAGATATATAAGGCCTGGGGACCTATATATTAGGTGTCATGGTTAAGGCATTGGATTTTCACATGGTGACTGGGTTCAAGTCCCAGACCTAGCGGCTTGAAAATCATGCTAGGTGCCATGCACATGTGTGCCCACGATCCTGAGAGGAGAATGGAGAAGGGATTGCAGCATGGCCATACCCTTGGGGGCGGCCATACCCTTGGGGGTGATTTCTCACTTTCCCTCTCTGTCTATGAGGTGAGTGTACATGCCCTATGGCACAAATCTAAAAAAAAAAATATTATAGGCCTCGAGTTGATAGTGGTTTTGAATACAGATCATTTCAGAAAAATTTTAATAGAGTTGTTGGCCTTCTATCTAACTTATTTTTAGAGCTAAAGATCAAAATGATTGAGCCACGTCATTTGATATATGAGTGATTGAAACTGCCAAATCAGGAATAGTCCTGAAAATTTCCACTCTTGCCTGGAGCTGACTATTCTTCTTTTCTTCGAAGACTCTTTTGATTATAATTCACTACTGACATCTGTAAATGAAACCATTTCTGAATTGATGTAAATGGAGTATTTTAGTCTAAAGATTTTACTTGATTTTTTTTGGAAAAATTAAGGAGCTTTATTTCTGCTATTTACTCTTTCATCATACTATTTACATTTTCATCATACTACAAGCTGTAAATGGAAACTTGTGAACTGACTTGCTGTATTTGCACTTTGAGCTATTGAAATAAATGTTGTTTTTGTCTGGTTATCTGGTTTCTAGTTTCCAACATTTGTTGTCACCTTGTATTCTTATGTGAAAAAGTACAAAAATCATTAAATTAATAAGTTTTATAATAAAAAAACCCAATTACTATGCTCGGAAATGCTTGGTGATCCGGGATAAAAATAAGTACAACACCCCCAAATACAGAATGTATAACTAACAGAGATATCATTTATCATATTGCTTATGCTTGTATAGAAGGGGATATGATAGTCTGCTCAGCTTATGCACGTAAACTACCAAAATACGGTGTGAAGGTTGGCCTGACAAGTTATGCAGCAGCATATTGTACTGGCTTGCAGCTGGCCCGCAGGCTTCTCAATAGGTTTGGCATGGACAAGATCTAGGAAGGTCAAGTGGAATTGACCGGAGATGAGTACAATGTAGAAAGCATCAATGGTCAGTCTGGTGCATTCACCTGCTATTTGGATGCAGGCCTTGCCAGAACTACCACTGGTAATAAAGTTTTTGGGGGCCTGAAGGGAGTGGTGGATAGAGGTTTATCTATCCCTCACAGTACTAAACGATTCCCTGGTTATGATTCTGATAGCAAGGGATTTAGTGCAGAAGTCCATCGGAAGCACATCATGGGCCAGAACATTGCAGACTACATGCATTACCTAATGGAAGAAGATGAAGATGCTTACAAGAAACAGTTCTCCCAGTACATAAAGAACAATGTAACTCCAGACATGGAGGAGATGTAGAAGAAAACTCACACTGCTATACGAGAGAACCCAGTCTATGAAAAGAAACCCAAGAAAGAAGTTAAAAAGAAGAGGTGGAATCGTCCCAAGATGTCCCTCTCCCAGAAGAAAGATCAGGTAGCCTGGAAGAAGGCTAGCTTCCTCAGAGTTCAGGAGCGGGTTGCTGAGAGCTAAGCCAAACAATTTTCTAAAATAAAAGATAATAAATTACAACAAAGCAACAAAAAAAGAAAGAAAGAAGGAAAGAACGGATGACATGTAAGTTATACTCATCGAACTTTAATTTTCTTTGCATTACATTAAGAATTTAGAAGGGAACACATATTTTGTATACATACATAATAAAAATACATATTATTGATCATTCTTATGTGTTGTATTTAACAAATATGTACTGGGTGCCTATTATGATCCAGGTACTAAATTAGATGCTTGGAATTTGTCCTCGTCAAACTTAGCATCTTAAAACATACACTTGTGCCCTTTTTAGTCTACATTGAGCCTGCTATATCAAGTTGGAATATCAACTTTAATTATTTCTCAGGCTGAAAATATCTATTTTTTGAGAGTTCTAGCCTTGTGATTTGGAATGAGGATGATTTAGATTAGAACTGTTTGCTAACAGTGTGATACCTAGTAAATGAGTTACCCCTGTAAACCTCAGTAATCGCAAATGTTTAAAGGGGAAAATAGGATTATCTAGGATTCTTTGTTAATAGCCCCAAAGTGGGCTCAGTTCTGAAATACAGTTCTGGCTCAAGCTTTTCTCCGTGGGATCAGGCTGAAGCAATGCTCCACTGAAACCAGATCTTTATTCTGATTTTTCCCTGCAGTACTCCCCTGCTCCCCTCAACTCCCCTTCTCCTATGAGCACTCTCTCAAGAAACCTTATGCACTGCAATCTCCACCTCAGGTTCCACTTTTAGGGAATGCAACTAAAGACAGTGGCTAGGGCAGAGCTACTCTACATACCCTGGCTTTCATCTGAGCATGAAACTCAGTCCAAACTGTGTGAGCCAAGTTGTGCAAAGGGGCAAAGGTTGCTTCATTTGTCCAAAGCCATGATTGTTCTAGATTTCTTTGAAGTCTGAGTTGAGATTCAAACCC